TGGCACTTTTCAGAATTCCTACTTTCAGTGCTGACCAGGAATATTACATGTAGTGTCCTCCCCTCCCCCCCCCCCCCCCCCCCCCCCCCCCCCCCCCTCCATCCTCTCCTCTCCTCTCTCCAGAGGACACCAGGCTAGGGAAGGCTGAACCAAAGTGTTTGGTATCCCATCTTTCATCTCAAAAAGGCTCCAGGAAAGGCCCACAACATGGTTTAAAAGAAGCAAAGTATTCTAGCAAGAGCAGTTTACAGGTCTGAAAAGGCTAGGCTCATAAAAACCCCAGTACTAACAAGACTCTTGTGCCCATCCTCGGGAGGGTGTTCCGAAGTCAGGGTCCCACAACCCAAAAGAGAGAAGCAACCAGGCTTGTCTCTAATGTCCCGTTCTAGACTTGGACAAGCTGGGCTACTGAGGGGAGAACTGCTCCCAGTTTGCCAACTGCATGAGGAAAAGTGGTTGCAAAGGGTGGGCTTCCTTCTTCCTACTGAGGGCGCCCTGTTCCAACTGCCAGTTGACTTACAGCTACCGTTCAGAAGGGAAACCCACTCGGGTTTCTGTCCCTGGCCAGGGGACCCATTAGCCCGGTGAAGTCACTACTTCCAGAAGCTGCCATCCCTTCTTTGATCAAGGGAACATTTGATTTGTGGAAGAACTGCAGGGAAACAGACTCTCTTGCTCCCCCTTTCAGCCTGCTGTGGGACTGTGTGCTCACATAAAGTCCACACCCATCCGAAGGAAGGTTCAAATCTTCAAAGAAAGATAATAGGATAGGAACAAGAGAAAACAAAAAACAAAAAGGACTTAATTGAAACATTTGGTGAGGGAGTCCATTGCAAATCATGCTCCTTAAAGTGTGGCAGGATAGCTTGGGCAAGGGTGGGTGGGTGACTGGGATGAGGCACTCGGCTGACTTTTAAAATATCTGTATGACAACTAAGTTGAAATAGAAAGACTGGTGTAGTATATATATTTTTTTCCAGCATTACCCTTAAGAACCAGCATGGAGGCAACAGGTTCTCCTCCTCCTCTACTGCACCTAAGGATAAGAGACCCATTTATACATCACAGTCCGCACCTACCATTCCACCTATCTTCTATTAATTTGTTTCCCTAAGATACCAATCATTAACACTCCTAAAGCTTTTGAGTTCTATAGGTATTTCATTTCTCAAAATAAATCCCATTAAGTACCCTATGGGTACTTTATAACGCCATCAGTAAAAAGAACAGTTGGATTTACTGATGACACTTCCAACAAAGGTTGATGTAGAATTGTTGGCCCAACACATCAAACATCCATCATAGCTCTGGGTTTTTGTTCCTTGCACAAACAAGTTCTTGGCAGCATTTCAGTGCAATATTTCTGCAAAATTGTTATTAAACGGCGGGGGTCTAAGCAGTCAGCTCACATCACTATAGCTACAATGCAGGCTTTAATAAGTCAGCAATTTTAGCATAAACATTTCTGTCTCATTTTGAACCAGAACAATGGGATGCTCTTGGTTTGTTTTGAAAAGGAATGACTCAGTTCATTGGGAATGAGACTCTGGGCAACACAATCAGCAAAGGATGCTAATTCTACATGTAGATATAGTCAATGAACCATTGAAAGTTAACCCTGCACATATACCCAGATAAAAAACAGCAAACCTAAATTTTATGCCAAAATTAAGATTTCACCACCACTCAAATGTGAGTATGGTTTTCCAGATCTAACTTTACTTCTATTCAATTTTTCATGATGTTTCTTTGCTGGTTTTGTTCAAAGTGATCTACAAAATGCCTTTTTCCTTACTTTCTTTAAATTTTTGCTTGGATGTCAACTCAAATCTCTTTATTTGAGCAATCAACCAGCAAAGCAAAGCTTTGAAGAGTAACATTACAACTGTGCCATTAAAGTAATAGTGTAATACTATAAGCATTGACTAAAGCTTTTGATCACTAGGACAAATGATAAAAACATGATACTGACACAACTAAGTTGTATAAATTTAAGATTTTTTAAAGAAAAGAAGATAATTTTCTTGGATATAACTCTCACTGGATGGCTTTGTACAAACATTCTCTCTTCCTCAATTCCCAAACTAGAACAGGGAAATTATAGCAGCCTAATTCAAATGTCTAAATAAGAAAGGTACTCAGGCTGCAATCCTCAATAAATACGTTCCAGAGTAAATTCTACTGAATGCAGTCTGATTGTCTCCTAGGTTAATGCACAGGAGTGGCACCGTAAGATTACACTCCCATGCATTGTAGGCTGCAGACAATAGCAGAACAGCTCCCACTAATGTGCGGACAATCATATCAGTGCCAGTAATAACAATACCTGTAAGAATGCCCAAGGAAAGGTAAAGATGCTCCAGAGTTGTGGCAAAGGAACTCAGGATAAATCCAGCAGATGCAAGGAGTCCTCCGAGCATGATACCCACTTGACTAGAGACATGATTGCTGATGAAACTCCCCAGAGGAGCTTGGAAGGGAAAGAAATGCAGCGAGAAGTGAACACGCCTTCATACCAGAAAGGATACTTTCATTTAAAGCCATGCCAAAGCATCAACTATTTTAATTGTCCCCTTTACATTCTGATGGATTTTTAAAACAAATTTTGATTTTTCTTTGTGTTCCTGCAAAGGAGAAGAGTTTTTGTTTTTTCATGAAATTCTGATGCGGGGAGAATACGATGTTTATGTTTAAGGTAAAATAAATAGGAAAAAAAAAAAAAAA